ATACATGACATGATTCTTACGGCAGGGCCTACGGTCTGTCCCCACCGTCATAAAAATTTACTCAGTGCTCGGAGTACACATGTATAAAATTGTGCAGGAAACGCCTAATGCAGTATTTTGAATGGTTGAATTCCGATTATGAGTACTATAGTCGTACTCCAAATGTTTATGATTGCAAGGCCAGGAGTCAAAATCTCCCAATTTTTAAGCTCTCTTCCGTGTTTTCAAAAGTTTCAACCCTAAAAATTGTCAGTCCTTATTTTTTATAACCATCAACATGATCGATGTCAATCTCTTATATTTTTTTTGTGTCACTGATGAGGATAATTTCTACCTGTAAATCAAAAAACTTGGATAATTGTATGGCTCCATTTCAGGTAGAATCCCAGTTGAAATTAAACAAAAGAAACAGAACTCTTTGTTAGAGAAGGGAAAAAAGGCCAAGTTGGTAAATTTGAATTGTTTACATCTGTTTCTATGGGCTTTAAAAGTTTAATGAATGCACCTAATTTAAGATTTTATGCATCTTATGTATGTGTTTGTACTTGAAATATGGTATGGAGCTTCTAGATATTTGTAAACTTTTAAATTTTATTATTATAGACAAATTTTCACAAAACAGTCAATTGTGGTAGGTGCAAATACATGTGGATCTTTTTTGTGCATAAGCATAAATTCCGCCGAAAAAAATTACGAAGAAAGATAATAGATTGATCTGTTTAAAGCATTGAATTGCATCTCTGCCCCTGGCAACAGAGTTTTAGAAAAAAATTCTCAAAATGGGCAATAATTTCATCGGAAAGAGAAAGTCGAGTAAACCTTTTTATGTTCAGGCGTGTTTGAGTTGACTATTCTGTCTTGAAAGAAAAGAAAAATATTCGATACATTATCTTGCTTCAGATTCTATTATTTTCATATATTTAGGTTCTAGGTTGATATAATAACATTAAAGATTTACAGTACTAAAAAATGAAATATATGGGTCAAGTGAAATACCTTTCTAATGAGTCATAACAAGAGTAGGTGTGTTCGAAAAAACAAATTTTTACTAAAAGTACTTAACGACAGACTTTTCAAGTGGATCTTAAAAATGCATAACTTTAATTTTTTTGTGTGTGTTAGGTGGCGTAATGGGGAGATAATTTTGACCAAGTAGAATCCTGACTGACTTGACAGCTTGGGTGTCAAACCTGCTATTGATTAACGTTATTACCTCAGACTTACTGCCGTTATATAACTATGGTCTGTGCATTTGAAGACACTGGATAGAAATTTCGAGTTACTTCCCTCGTTTTACCATGTTTCTCAACTTTGTTTGATTTCAACTAAAATTAAATTTTTGGTGTTTTTTTTTAAAAGCTGAATCTAACCATGTTGTTAGATTTTGGATATCAGACCATTCTAGGTAAATTGAATGTCCCATTTCAAATTTTTAAGATCTTTGACCACATTTATTTTGGTCAGAAACCTATATTATGTCAAAAATTTTATCACAATCCAAATTCAGACAGTATCAAGCTTGAATATTGTGTCCAAACTTGCCCCAACTGTTCAGGGTTAGACCTCTGCGGTCGTATCTGGCTGCACTCAGCGAAGCATTTTATTTTTTTCATGAAGTCAAAAGGGGTTCCAAGCATTTTTTAACAAGACATACCAGTAGGCAAAATTGAGTTCTACATTTATTTTGTTAAAAGAATACATTAATAGTAATACTACTACACCAAAATAAAGGGTTGGGGATATGTATCTTTATCTTAAAATCTTATATTGAAAACGTCGATAAAAAATCTCCAGTTAATACAACTCCAGCTGAAAATTTTAAAATTTCCAGTTGTGACTTGACAACTCTCTGTATGTTTCCATAACATTTGATTTATATTATTGACTATTATATAATTTTACAGAATTTGGTACTTTAAGTGAAGGATCTTGGGAAATCAGGGCATTTTTGTCTCGCCTTGACAGAGTCTAAAAGCGAGACATAGGTACATGTATGCTGTTTTCCGGCGGTGGTGGCGGCGTCAACAATGTATTAGTTTGTGATTAGGTCTAGTTCATGGTGAACCACTAGTGGTAGGTCAATGATATTTGGTATGCAGTTGTATTAGCATTGGCACATCTCATTACCATGGAGATTACTTGGCCCTGCCCCCTCAGTCAAGGTCTATTAACTTTGAAACTTTGCTTAGTTTACATGTATTAGTTTGTGATTAGGTCAGTTTATGAGGAACCACTAGTGGTAGGTTACTGATATTTGGTATGCAGTTGTATTAGCATTGGCACATCTCATTACCATGGAGATTATTTGGCCCCACCCCCTCAGTCAAGGTCTATTGACTTTGAAACTTTGCTTAGTTTACATGTATTAGATTGTGATTAGGTCAGTTTATGGTGAACCACTAGTGGTAGGTCAATGATATTTGGTATACAGTTGTATAAGCATTGGCATATCTCATTACCATGGAGATTATTTGGCCCGCCCCCTCAGTCAAGGTCTAATGACTTTGAAACTTTGCTTAGTTTACATGTATTAGTTTGTGATTAGGTCAGTTTATGAGGAACCACTAGTGGTAAGTCAATGATATTTGGTATGCAGTTGTATAAGCATTGGCACATCTCATTACCATGGAGATTATTAGGCCCCGTCCCCTCAGTCAAGGTCTATATATTTTGTAATGAAAGAAATAATTTACATGTAAACAATGGAATTTGTAGCTTATATGTTTTTAAATTGTTTAACAGTTGTGCATTGATATTTCACTATTTTATATGGGTGTTTTTTAATAATTAAACAGACTTTTTTTCGTAGGAAAATTAATATCACAGACTTTTATGATGTACATAATCACAAATGTTCCTTTCTTGATTTTAAAATTGATTAATTAAAGTAATGTCTTAAGAAATAAACTTCTTAAGGGACTTTTTTCATACAAAAAAGGAGAATACAGAAGTATAAAAATTTTCCTCGGAAAATAGGTGCCAGACATATTTTACTAGCTATGGACTTATTTTCCTAGGAAAATTTATCCAGGAACTTAATTTCCTAGTAAAATTATGATCACGCACTTGATTACCTGTGAAAAAAAGTATGGCGGCCAAATTTTACTACCAGACCAAATTTACTGTTACAGATGCTAGGCCTTAAAACTTTCCAAAATGCACCTGTTTGTCTGTACTCAGAAGAATTTTTGAGTCGAAAAACAGCCATTTCTGTCCATTTGTTATGATGAACCTTAAAACATAGCTTACATTTTAATTTAACAGCTAGACAGAAATAATTTGCTCAGACTCTGACAGCCTTTTTTATGTGATTTTAAGGACTGGCTGGGACTGTGGGTCAGCAGAGTGCAGTCCATATAGAAAACATGGGACTTGCCGATCAAGACTTCAAAAGTTTTAACACTGAAAAATTGAGTTTTTAATATTGAAAAAGGTCTAAAAAGGTTTAAAAAAGAAAAGCCAGACGTTTTACCTTTATTTGCATGTATAATTCACTACATCAAGATTGAACATTTTATTGTTAACTCGAAGATTATTTCAAAGCAAATTTTTTTGATTTTTTATTCCATTGATTACAACCTGATTTCATAGAGTTACTTCAGCAATCCATCATTTGCAAATAGTCTCAACAAGTATTGAGGTTCATCAGAAGGAATTGAAAAATATGGCTGTGTTTACAGCACAAAATCGTGAGTATAGACAAACCTGGTCATCTGGTAAAGTTCTTAGATAATTAAATTTCAAATGCATTTTATGTTTAGAAAATTTGAAAGTTTGAGATTCCTTTTATTTTGTTTCCACATGTACAGGAGTGCCAAAATAGACAAATACCTGAATTTCATTTGATATTGTCCTTTTCATTTACACAGTTTAAATCACCTATTATTGTGCAAGTATTTATTGTCCATATCAATTTAAATAGCTCACTTATATTATTAAGTAGGGGAACATCTCAAACATTTTTCCAAACGTTTATTTTGGCACCCTCTAGATCTGTGGGAACAAAAAAAAAAAGGAATCTCAAAATCCGTAAAAGTTTATAATTTTCTGAAATATACAATGCATATAAATATCAAATATCTAGTTCAAGCCATGCCGTAAAACTCTACCAGGTGCACAAGTTTGTCTGTACTCAAAATTAAAATTTGTGGTGTAAATACGGCCATATTTGCCAAAAGGTTATAATGAACCTTAATTTTAGCACATCCCAAATAAATTTGAAACCAGGCATCTTGAAAGATTTTGTCTAGAAATTCAAAAACTGCTGCCATTAATCGAACTCTGCTTTTGTAAGATTTGTTTTTATTCTGGACAACCCCTGGATAATCCGTTAAATGTTTGAAATGGATTAATTTTTTTGTAACTTTAATAGTTAACACAATTTATTAACGTAGCTTTTGGTGATGTCATTCTCCTTATGATTAAAACAAAAATGGAGAGGTATTGAAATTATCACTTTTGTACTTCTGTAGGTAGTTCAAGATGAGTTTAGATGGATTACCAGATTCAACATTCAAAGGTCAAGGATGGAAATATCATTTCAATACATTTACCTTAAGAGGCAAATTCAATGTGAGTACACCATGCAGCAGCATGTCACACAAAATATGTTTTTATTTTTATGCCCTCACTGCTAGGCAAAGGGGGCATTAAGTGTTACTCTTTTCCTTCAAGTACAAAACAATAAACTGAATTACTGGCTCCTGATTTGGGACAGGCACATACAGAATGTGGCGGGATTAAACATGTTTGCTGGCGCCAAACCTTCCCCCTAGATCAGATCAGTACAAAGCACTTAAAAATCCTAACAAAAACACAAAAGACACAAAATACAGATCTGAGAGTACTCGCAGTTACTGAAAACTAGTTAACAGCCAATAAAAACTAATTAAAAAGTCTTGTGTCTAAGACTAAAATATCCATTGTTCTTATCAATAAATACTATGTGTATTCATTTTCTTTATTTGTAATAAACCTATTATTCTGTTTTCAGCTTTCAGTTTTAACACTTGGTTGTTATGGACTTCTAGGATTATATCTTATGGGAGGAAAGAAGAAGAAAGCAGTACAAGGAGTGAAAAAATAACAAAATGCTAATTGTTGTTTGTGATATTTTCTAGAGTTGAACTGTAAATTAAAATATATGCCTGATAGAATTATCTGTATTCTTTTTATACGACCGCAAAAAAATTTTTGTGGTCGTATATTGGTATGACGTTGGCGTCGTCGTTGTCGTCGTTGTCGTCCGAAGACACATTGGTTTTCGCACTCTAACTTTAGTTTAAGTGCATGGATCTCTATGAAATTTTACCACAAGTTCAATACCACAAAAGGAAGGTTGGGATTGATTTTGGGGGTTATGGTACCAACAGTAAAGGAATTAGGGGCCAAAAAGGGGCCAAAAATAAGCATTTTTGTAATTTCCAGACATAACTTGTGTGTTAGTGTATGGATCTCTCTGACATTGTACCACAAGGTTCCATATCACAAAAGAAATGCTGGGATTGATTTTGGGGGTAATTGCCTCAAAATTTTAGGAATTAGGGGCCAAAAAAGGGGCAAAAAACAATAATTTTTCTAGTTTCATGACAACAAATTGTGTGTAAGTGTATGGATCTTTCTGAAATTGTACTACAAGGTTCCATATCACAAAGGGAAAGCTGGAATTGAGTTTGGGGGTAATTGCCGAAACGTTTAGGAATTGGGGGCCAAAAAGGGGCCAAAAATAAGCATTTTTCTAGTTTCCAGACAATAACTTGTGTTCAAGTGTATGGATCTCTCTGAAATTGTACTGCAAGGTACCATACCACAAAGGGAAGGCTTGGATTGATGATGGGGGTAATTGCCTCAATATTTTAGGAATTAGGGGCCAAAAAGGGGCAAAAAACACATTTTTCTAGTTTCCAGACAATAACTTGTGTTGACAAGTGTATGGATCTCTCTGAAATTGTACTGCAAGGTACCATACCACAAAGGGAAGGCTGGAATTGAGTTTGGGGGTGATGAATCATAAGGGGGTTCAAAAAATTTGGGGGGGGGGATTTTTTTTTTTTCCTTTTTTTTTTCTTTTAAAATTTTCCATTTTAAGTTGGTTATTTCTGATTTATATTTAAAAGCAAATAATAATGATATGGTAGGAGATACACACCAAACAGGATGTGTAAATTATTATATAATAAGTATTGTGCAATAGCAAGAAATTTTCAATTGCACAGTATTGCACAATAGCAAGAAATCTTCAATTGCACAGTATTGCGCAATAGCAAGAAATCTTCAATTGCACAGTATTGCACAATAGCAAGAAATCTCCAATAGCACAATATTGCGCAATAGCAAGAAATTGTCAATAGTACAGTATTGCGCAATAGCAAGAAATATTTAATTGCACAGTATTGTGCAAAAGAAGATACTTCGTATAAATTGCTTATTTCTTGACCAATTTCAATGGGGTTTTATTCTTGAATTCTTGGGGTTCTTTAATATGCTGAATCTAACCGTGTATTTAGTTTTTGGATTTTGGGCCCCTTTTTAAATTGGTCCACTTTGAGGTCCAAAGGGTCAAAAATTAAACTTTGTTTGATTTCATCAAAAATTGAATTATTGGGGTTCTTTGATATGCCGAATCTAACCGTGTATTTAGATTCTTAATTTTTGGTTCCGTTTTCAAATTGGTCTACATTAAGGTCCAAAGGGTCCAAAATTAAACTTAGTTTGATTTTAACAAAAATTGAATTCTTAGGGTTCTTTGATATGCTGAATCTAAAAATGTATTTAGATTTTTGATTATGGGCCCAGTTTTCAAGTTGGTCCAAATCGGGGTCCAAAATTAAACTTTGTTTGATTTCAACAAAAATTGAATATATGGGGTTCTTTGATATGCTGAATCTAACCATGTATTTAGATTTTTGATTTTTGGGCCCCGTTATCAACTTTGTCCACATTGAGGTCAAAAGGGTCCAAAATTAAACTTTGTTTGATTTCATCAAAAATTGAATTCTTGGGGTTCTTTGATATGCTGAATCTAACCATGTATTTAGATTTTGGATATTGGACCATAATAGGTGAATGTCCAATTTAAAATTATTAAGTTCTTAGACCACATTCATGCTGTGTCAGAAACCTATGCTGTGTCAAATATTTAATCACAATCCAAATGCAAAGCTGTATCAAGCTTGAATGTTGTGTCCATACTTGCCCCAACTGTTCAGGGTTCGACCTCTGCGGTCGTATCAAGCTGCGCCCTGCGGAGTATTTTATTATCATATAAACTACAATCTACCAGGTATCTCATTTATCTAAGAAAATTAACCATAATAAAAAAGTCTTTATCACAAGAGGGTTAAAAAGTAAGTTGCATTCACTTGAATAAGAAAGCTTCCTGTTGGTAATCATTTGCATTTTTTTTCTACAATGAAAGCAAAAACACAAATTTACATATATTCAAAAAACATTCATATAACCATATTACATCTCTATGTCACATAACCGCCTTGGTGATCTCATGGTAGCTTGTTCGCCTCGAGTGCGGGAGGTTGTGGGCTAGAACCCCGGCCGGGTCAAACCAAAGACTTTAAAATTGATATTTGCTGCTTCTCCGCTAAGCACACAGCATTAAGGGGTAAGAGCAAAGACTGGTCAGCTCAGATTCAGAATAATGTCTCCGGGTAAGGTGACATGTCTACCTGCGGACTGCTACCTTGTGAAATAGCACATTAATAAAATGCTCCGCTGGGGCGCAGCTTGATACAACCGCAGAGGTCGAACCCTGAACAGTTGGGGCAAGTATGGACACAACATTCAAGCTTGATACAGCACTGAATTTTGATTGTAATTAAATATTTGACACAGCATAGGTTTCTGACACAGAATGAAAGTGGTCTAAGAACTTAAAAAATTTTAATTTACCTATTCAAACCATATCATTATTATTTGCTTTTATATATAAATCAGAAATAACCAATTTAAAATGGAAAATTTTAAAGAAAAAAAAGGAAAAAAAAATCCCCCCCCAAATTTTTTGAACCCCCTTATGATTCATCACCCCCAAACTCAATCCCAGCCTTCCCTTTGTGGTATGGTACCTTGCAGTACAATTTCAGAGAGATCCATACACTTGAACACAAGTTATTGTGTGGAAACTAGAAAAATGCTTGTTTTTTGGCCCCTTTTTGGCCCCAAATTCCTAATCGTTAAGGGCAATTACCCCCAAACTCAAACCCAGCTTTCCCTTTGTGATATGGAACCTTGCAGTACAATTTCATAAAGATCCATACACCTTACACACAAGTTATTGTCCTGAAACTAGAAAATGCTTGTTTTTTTGCCCTTTTATGGCCCCTTTACCTAAAATTTTGAGGGAATTACCCCCAAAATCAATCCCAGTCTTCCCTTTGTAGTATGGTACCTTGCAGTACAATTTCAGAGAGATCCATACACTTGAACACAAGTTATTGTCTGGAAACTAGAAAAATGCTTATTTTTGGCCCCTTATTCCTATATTTTTTGGGCAATTACCCCCAAACTCAATTCCAGCTTTCCCTTTGTGATATGGAACCTTGTAGTACAATTTCATAAAGATCCATACACTTACACACAAGTTATTGTCATGAAACTAGAAAAAATGCTTGTTTTTGGCCCCTAATTCCTAAAATTTGGAGGCAATTACCCCCAAAATCAATCCCAGCATTCCCTTTGTGATATGGAACCTTGTGATACAATGTCAGAGAGATCCATACACTTACACACAAGTTATTGTCATGAAACTAGAAAAATGCTTGTTTTTTGGCCCCTAATTCCTAAAATTTGGAGGCAATTACCCCAAAAATCCATCCCAGCATTCCCTTTGTGATATGGATCCTTGTGGTACAATGTCCGAGAGATCCATACACTTACACACAAGTTATGTCTGGAAGTTACAAAAATGCTTATTTTTGGCCCCTAATTCCTTAACTGTTGGTACCTTAACCCCCAAAATCAATCCCCACTTTCTTTTTGTGGTATTGAACCTTATGGTAAAATTTCATAGAGATCCACCCACTTAAACTAAAGTTAGAGTGCAAAAACTTATGTGTCTTCGGACGACGACGCCAACGTCATACCAATATACGACCACAAAAATTTTTTTGCGGTCGTATAAAAATCTGTCTCAGCGTGTCGGTCTAGTACAAAGCAGGGTGAATATTTACATTACATTAAAATGTTCTAGTCCTGCATATGCATATTAATTCTCCATGGACTTTAAGCATCCATCTGTCGTCATCATTTATGTCACATGGACAGTCTCTCAAGGTTCATCAGATATGGCCGTGTTTACACCAAAAAATTTACTCTTGACAATAGACAAACCAGGAAAAGTTTTAAGGCATGGCAGGAACTAGGGAAATAAAATTGAATGCATTTCATGTTTCAGAAAATTAAACAATTTCCTGGAATTCAAATGAACTTTCAATTTTTGTCACCAAATTCTCCGGTACTACGGAACAGAATTACTTTATATTTTGTAAGCAGCTTGACAGGGAAGACAAGTGAAGAACACATTCAACTACCTGTTTTAAGGCAGGAATACTAACCTTATGTTTCTGTTGGATAAGCTATAATTGGACAATTAACTTTTTGATTCTTCTGCAGTCAGTTGAGTGTACTATTAACCATTTTTGTTTTAATAATACAATTCCAGATGGAAATCTTCATTACAAATTTGTCGGTTCATTGTAGCAATTTGTTAGATTAGATAGTGTGTAAGGATACAAGAAATTTATCTTTAAGACCCTCTGCCTGGTTAATTCACCAAACCTGTACTCCTATACACATGGAATTACATATCGGTACATGTATATCAGACATATTATTATCCGTAATTAGTTATAATGACCAGGTGTCACAGTTGCAAAATTCTTATTATTTCTATGAATTACACATAGAAGGACCATTAAATGAATAATACTATCAGTTTACCTTTGCTAGTATATATTATAAAAAAATAAGTTGAGATTGTTAAGCTATTGTATTTCTTCAACAGAAATTACAGACCAGGGAGATGCATGAAACATTAATCATGTTATAATTGCCCAATATTAATTCTCTGAGACTGGCAGAATACCGGTATTTCCAATTGACTACACTACATGGTGCTTGATTTTCTTTGGTTGTTGTACAAATCCCAAACCCTGCTTATATTATTGTGATGTCAAGTGGATGGGCAGATAGGTTGTAGGAGAAAAGTGGGTACCTTATTTGTGCAATCAACTCCTCCTGGTGTCAACCAGATTCCTGAAACTTAACAGGAAGATTGCACTATGTTAAAGTTTTTTCCAGACTTTGGAAGGTAATTTCTTAGCAAAATTTATCAAAGAGAGAACAAGTTTTGTATAATCAACTCCTGCAGTTTTCAACCCAGATCCCTGAAACTTCACAAGAAGTTTTCAACCAAGATCCCTTAGACTTCACAGAATGATTGTATACATAATGAAGTTGTGCACTTGCTATATTAAGGAATTTTTCCTGACTTGGAAACTTAATTATTTTCCAGCAAAATTTACAACCTTCATGTACTTGCAAAGACATTGTTAACATTCTACATTGATTAATGGCAAATATTGCAACCTGGCCATTTGAGACTTTGGCCCATTTTTAAACTATTCCAACCCTACCCTGAAAAATTTTAAAAACCCTGGTATTATATTTCAGTTGTTTTAGGCTTGAGAATACTCTTGAAATTTGCAAAAAATTCTTTTGTTTGATTGTATGATTGTAAAATGTGAGTTATATTTTGTTCATAACCACTTCAGCGGTCTTGTGGCAACATTCATGACCTTAATTGCAAGGGGACTCTGGTTCGATCCTTGTCCAGGATCAAAACAAAGGCTTTAAAAATTGGTATTTGCAGCATTTGGAGTAAGAAAAGACTTGTCAGTTGTTAACATAAATATTGCATCAAGATAGGGTGACATAACTTCCTGCAGACTTATGCTGTGAACTTGCACATGCAAATCCAGCTCAGATTGGCCTAGTACAAAGCAGGGTTCATATTCATATCACATCATCGTGTTCTCATCCTGATAGGCATGTCATATTTGCCACTGGATGCTGAACGCAGTGGCAGATCCTGGGGGTTGGACCCCCCTTTTTTTTTATGATCAATGCTTTTGGTTGGAACCCCCTTTTAAAAATGGGTGGATCTCTCCGCCCCTGAAACGCATATCCACCATTCACCTTTTTTTTCCATATACCATTCAGAGTTATTGTACCCACAAGCTTAAACATTCAAGGCAAGCATGCCTAGGTGGTTAGATGCCATTGGACTAATGCATACATGGGCCTTTTTTTATTTTCAAATCTACAACGTTTGAGCAAATCTGACATTTGTATTTAAAAGGCTGGAATTATGAACAGAAGGTTTTAGTTTAGCTTCTTATTTAACTTATTAGAAAAAACCTGGCTCAGTGGGATTTGAACCCATGCTTCTGCAGTGGCGTAGCTATGCCATTTTTAAGTGTACGCCCTCCTGATAGGGGGCAACCCCCCCCCCCGGAAGTTAACGCGTTTTTGAGAAAGATCCCAATATCTGTCATTACCATTAAAAACTCATCAATTAAGAACCCCCACCCCCCGGAAGTTAACGCGTCTTTGAGAAAGAGATCCCAATATCTGTCATTACCATTAAAAACTCATCAATTAAGAACAAAACTAAAAAATTACAACGAAAGAGATGATTTCAGCTTCCAATTGTGAACTTTTTAATTATGAACCAAGAGTTCTAAGTTTTTCCAAGTTGAAATCATCCCTTCGAAAATTTTACGGTCGACATCAAGAGTAGGTTGACCGTTATGGAATATCTATTTCACAGATTGTTAATGACGATTGTTCCAATTGTTGATATTACCACAATCCCGTCCTCTTTTCCTCGAATAAGACCTACCGAATTAGAATTATCACTGGGTTTGTACTTACATCAGTAACACAGTGGGTGCCATAAGTGGAGCAGAATTTGCTTACCCTTCCGGAGCACCTGAGATCACCCCCAGTTTTTGGTGGGGTCCGTGTTACTCAGTCTTTTGTTTCTATGTTGTGTTTTGTATACTGTGGATTCATTTATTTTCGTGGGTATCAATTTTCGTGGATCGAGGAAAACTTTCATTTTCGTGGAGATTTGATTTCGTGGTTTTACGAATCTCTGCATACAAAGCCCATAGAAAATTTGTATTTCGTTGAATATTTGAATTCGTGGTTCACCTGTAACCACGAAACCCACGAAAATTGGTATCCAACGAATAATAATGAATCCACAGTATACTGTTGTTTGCCTTTTCGTAGTTTTTCATTTTTTGCCATAGTATTGTTTGTTTTCTACCGATAAGTTTGAATATCCCTTTGGTACCATGTATCTTTCTCCTCTCTTTTATAGTCTAATTTGTTTTTTTTTAATGTTACATTTATTCATTCATGTGTCATTGTGTTGATTTGGAATCTAATGTTCATAAAAATTTTCAATGTTGTCGTTCTATTCATTATATATCTTGTCTTATTTACTCACATTTTTAAACTCAAATTTCGTAAAGGACACAAGGACACATTTCCTAATTAATTTTCATAGATGGTCAGGTGTAACGTAAAAATAAATATTGAACTGTAACATCAAAAATGCAAGCCACATTGTATCTCAGTAGATAATGAATTGCTTTAAACAATAGTAAACTGAGTAGAATTCTCAGTAGATTTCAGACTTTGACAGAAAATGAACAAATATATAATATAAAATATGAAAACAACACTTTATTAATTTCATGCGTCCGAAGCACTTTTCTGGATTTACCTTCATCAGGAATTGTTCGAAAGCACAACCGAATATTTGAAAGCTAAGGATGTATAAGAACCGAAACAGTTGCAGAGCTATATGACCAAAACTCCAGTACCTAAAAAAATAATATGATACCATTTGAGTAAGGGAGCTACCATTTGATTTTTATGGGGGGGGGCTAGGATGAAAAATTGTGTCCTGCATTTTTTTTTAGTTATCCCCCTCATTAAGTTTTACCCTTGTCCATCTGTACGTACGTCCCAAAATTGGTTTCTGTTCTCTAACTTAAGTTTGCCTCAACCAAATGTTATGAAACTTATACACAATGCTTATTACCACAAAACACAGATCAAGTTTGGGACCATCATCCCCAAAATCAATCCCAACCTTCCTTTTGTGGTATTGAAACTTCTTAAAAAATTTCATAGAGATCCATTCACTTAACTAAAGTTATTGTCCGGGAACCAATGTGTCTTCGGACGACGACGACGACATCATACCATTATACGATCCCAAAAATTTTTTTGCGGTAGTATAAAAATTGAATTTTTTTTATTTTCTTCTAAATATCAAGTAATTTTTAAAATTTGAGTTATCTTCCTTTGTCCATAATTATAGTTGAATCAACTACAATCATTGCTTTATACAATGCAATGTTTTATTTTGACTTCCACTGTTAAAACACAGATCAAGTTGAATTTGGGTATTGTCACTTTAACCATTATTGAGTTATGCCCCTTTATAAATAGAAAGATTGTAAAAAATTTTAGTTTCCATTCTGTAACTTAAGTTTGCCCCCACTTAACATTATGAAACCTATACACAATATTCATAACCACAAAACTAAGATCAAGTACAAATTTTTTGTTTCCGTTTTCTAACTTTAGTTTGCCTCAACCAAATGTTATCAAAACTTTTTTACACAATGCTTATTACTACATAGTACAGATTAAGTACAAAATTTGGTGGCAACACTTTTACCATTCTTGAGTTATGTCCCTTTATAAACATAAAAATTGCTGAATTTTTCGTTTCCCTTCTCTAACTTTAGTTGGTCTCAACCAAATGTTATAAAACTTATACACAACCGTTCTAGAGATATGCGTGTTTACAAATAGAAAAATTGCTGAATTTTTATTAGTTTCTGTTCTCTACTTAAGTTAGTCTCAACCAAATGTTATGAGACTTACACACAATGGTTATTACCACAAAACTCAGACCAAGTTCATATTTGGGTAGCATCACTTTTACCGTTCTTCAGTTATGTCCCTTTATAACTATATGATATGCAAACGAGGGCATCATCTGTGTCCACATGTGGACACTATCCACATTTATCGTAATCTCGGCCCTGCCTTTTTATTTTTCACTTTATTTGGTCCTGCCCTTTTTTTTTATTAGTTTATCCCGACTTTTTTTACATAATTTGTCATCCTGCCTTTTTTTTTTTGCCAAGTTGCTCATCCTGCCTTTTTTTTTTACTCAAAACTTCTGTCCTGCCTTTTTTTTCAAATTTCATCCTAGCCCCCTCATAAAAATCAAATGGTAGCTCCCTAAAAGGTAACTTTCGTCCCTTTGTCTTTTATCTTCAATTACAATTCATTGAACAAATAATTACAAGGCTCGTGTACTTTTAATCAGTTCTTAATAAAATTCATTTGGGTTAAAATATTTTTTTCTTCAAAATTTATGTGCACGACCGGGCGTTTTGACGTAAACGTAGCTACACGCATGTTCTGTGACAATGTTGCTGGTCTAGACGAGACAAGAAATATAAGAAGATATAAGCAGACATCCAGTGCACCATATAAATAGTATCAAAAAAATTGAAAATTAAGGAAGCCTTTGTGAGCACGCTCACATACCCCACACCCCCACATTGTCAGTGGGCAAACAAAATCTCACTAGATTCCTAAGTTCAAAGACTCATTACTCCTACAAAAGTCAACTTATATTTTTTTCTTGTGGATCTGCACATCAACATTTTATGTCCTTATTATCTTCAAAGTTTCAGGAAATTCTTTTGTGTGATTTCAGAAGAGTTGCAATGACAAACTGTTGCAGTAGTATATTGGTGCCAATAAGTTCAATGGGCATAACTCCTAGAAAAATCCTTGAATCATAACTTCCTGTCGATATGCACATCTACATAGTATGTCCTTATTATCTACAACGTTTCATGAAATTTTGTTGTGTAGTTTCAGAGGAGTTGCGATGACAAACTGTTGCAGTAGTATATTGAGGCCAATAAGTTCAAAGGGGCATAACTCCTAGAAAAAAATAGAATCATAATTTCCTGTCGATATGCACGTCTACATAGTATGTCCTTATTATCTACAAAGTTTCATGAAATTCAGTTGTGTAGTTTCAAATGAGTTGCGATGACAAACTGTTGCAGAAGAATATTGAGGCCAATAAGTGCATAGGGGCATAACTCCTAGAAAAAAATAGAATCATAATTTCCTGTCGTTATGCACATCTACATAGTATTTCCTTATTATCTATAAAGTTTCATGAAATTCTGTTGTGTGGTTTCAGAGGAGTTGCAATGACAAGAACAGGATGGACGGACGGGTCAAAAACATTATACCCAATGCAAAAATTGTGTGGGGTATAAAAAGTAGCTGTGGTGATGTTGCCAATGAAAAACTGTCTCAAAGATCACTGAAAGAGAAATAGAATGTCTAATCATCTAAATATGTACAACCTTCAACTATGGGGCCTGATTTTGTCCATGACCACTACATCTTAATTTTAAATGTATAAAGAAGTTATCATTTTAATCATGTAATTTTCAAGTCTATATCAGAAACAACAATAACTTGATTAAAAATTCGTAAGGGTTCCACGGAACCCAGTGTCTCGCCTACTTTTTCTGTTAATCGCAGGCTCATCAAAAATGAGGAAGTAAATCAATAAAAATATTCCTCTTGATACTATCTTTTGATTGTAAGAAGCTTCTGTCCAAGTTTGGTAAAAATCCAGGATAGTTTATGAATCTAATAAATGTTTAAAAACTTAAACTGCAGACTGAATGTAATGTTAACTGAAAGAAAACATAATTTCCTTCTAGATACTAGCATTTGATCATAAACAAGCTTCTGTCCAAGTTTGGTACAAATCCAAAATAGTATAAGAAAGTTATTAAAATTTTAAAAACTTTAACCACAGAGTGAATGTGTTGTTTCCCGGCAGAAAATCTAAGTCCATTTAAAAGTAAAATACGGAAAAAATGGATTTATTTTTTTACAAAATTTCTTTCTACATACTAGCTTTTGATCATAAACAAGCTTCTGTCCAAGTTTGGTACAAATCCAAAATAGTATAAGAAAGTTATTAAAATTTTAAAAACTTTAACCACGGAGTGAATGTGTTGTTTCCTGGCAGAAAATCTAAGTCCATTTAAAAGTAAAATAAGGAAAAAATGGATTTTTATTTTTACAAAATTTACTTCTGGATACTATCTTATGATCATAAACAAGCTTCTGTCCAAGTTTGGTACAAACCCAGGATAGTTTAAGAAAGTTATTAAAATTTTTAAAACTTTAACCACGGAGTGAATGTGTTGTTTCCTGGCAGAAAATCTAAGTCCATTTAAAAGTAAAATAAGGAAAAAATGGATTTTTATTTTTACAAAATTTACTTCTGGATACTATCTTATGATCATAAACAAGCTTCTGTCCAAGTTTGGTACAAACCCAGGATAGTTTAAGAAAGTTATTAAAATTTTAAAAACTTTAACCACGGAGTGAATGTGTTGTTTCCTGGCAGAAAATCTAAGTCCATTTAAAAGTAAAATAAGGAAAAAATGGATTTTTATTTTTACAAAATTTACTTCTGGATACTATCTTATGATCATAAACAAGCTTCTGTCCAAGTTTGGTACAAACCCAGGATAGTTTAAGAAAGTTATTAAAATTTCAAAAACTTTAACCACAGAGTGAATGTAATATTTCCCGGCAGAAAAAGTAAGTCCATTTATAAGTAAAATATGGAAAAAATGAATTTTATTTTTACAAAATTTACTTCTGGATACTATCTTATGATCATAAACAAGCTTCTGTCCAAGTTTTGTAGAAATCCAGGATAGTTTAAGAAAGTTATTAAAATTTCAAAAACTTTAACCACAGAGTGAATATTTGTGGACGACGACGCCGACGGAATGTAGGATCGCTATGTCTTGCTTTTTCAACTAAAGTCGAAGGCTCGACAAAAATTAGTTTGAGAATCTGGATATTTTTTTTATGAGGGCACATATTGCCAACAGTGAAAAGTAAAATAACAAAAATACTGAACTCCAAGAAAAATTCAAACAGGAAAGTCCCTTATCAAATAGCAAAATCAAAAGCTCAAGCACATCAAACGAATGGAAAACAGCTGTCATATTCCTGACTTGGTACAGGCAATTCCTTATGTGAATTACAGGCTAACATAAAACAAGAAATCTATTAATCCAACTTGTTTATTTCAAAATAAATTACTTTCATTTAAGTTTCACAGAACTTGTTTTTACCAACTTCCTTTAAACAATGCAATATAATGGGTAGTAATATCTTCTTACTGTGAAAATTCTGTCACTTTGTGGATTTCAATTTTAATATTTTGTGAAAAAAATTATTGAATAGATATTTAATTTATGATTTTAGATTTTACACATAACAAATAAACTGACATGGTATTTGTTAGGTAATATGGTTTTAGAACTTAAAATATGAAATTCATACTAAAAGTAAAAACATAGTTGTTAGTTAGAGAAAATATTGCATTTGCTTCTCATTCACTAATTATTCTAAAATAGCAAACTACTAATAAAGCACGTCTTCATAAAAAACAGTTTTGTATAAAATTAAATGTACATTTAGTAAGAATGGAATTACTTCAATGAATTACTTGGCATAAAAGTGCATAAAAGCTACAAATTTTATGAATCCACACACCTAAATCAAAACTCTATAAAGTTACATTATTTATCCTATATAAAATATCAGTATAGTAAATTCAGAAATTAGTGCATGCACTTATTATTGCACTATTTGAAGATTGAACAAAATTATGAGATTAATGAATGTATATCAGAAAAATCATTCATACAGATATATGTATCAGATATCATAATGTGAGTTTTATCATTGCGAGACTCACCCAGGTCGCCTTTTTTTCATTAATAAAAACCTTTCAATGATTTCTGAATTTACAGTATATAATAACATGTGCCACCAATTGAACATTCTGAATACAGTTTGCATCAGATTTTTTCACATTTTTTAAAAATGTCAAAAAAAATACTAATACTTAATACACATAGCAAATCTTCCAAAAAAGATAGACGAGTTCATTTTAAAGTTTAAACTTCATAACTATCAGCATTCTGAACAATGATTATATGTATCATACAAATGATGGCGAAGAGATGCTTTTTATTGCAACAACTACATTTTTTTAACAAGAATGTGTCCATAGTACACGGATGCCCCACTTGCACTATCATTTTCTATGTTCAGTGGTCCGTGAAATTTGGGTCAAAACTCTAATTTGGCATTAAAATTAGAAAGATCATATTATAGGGAACATGTGTACTAAGTTTCAAGTTGATTGGACTTCAACTTCATCAAAAACTACTTTGACCAAAAACTTTAACCTGAAGCGGGACAGACAGACGGACGGATGAACAGACGCACAGACCGAAAAACATAATGCCCCTAGGTGAGGCATAAAAACATAGTATTGTGGTTGACTTTGGTCTCAAAAGAAATGTCATGCCATCATCATCCTTGAAACAAATATACATCAATCTTCTGAAATGAGTTGTTTCACCCTGTAAGTGAAAATTAACACCCAATTCTCTCCTTCCATTAAGCATCTGAAATGCTGATAATTAAGGTCAGGGAAAGGGCTATATAGCATAAGATATAAAGAGATATCACAGATGCTAATACATTTGTAATTAAACTTTCATTTAACAAACAAACTTTAATATGATACAATTCAGATATCAAAGGTGTCCACTTTAGAACAAAATAGCACTTGTAAGCAAAGAAAATTATCGTTAAGTTGGGTGTAAAAGCGTACATCCTTTCTTTTCTATTATGGTGGCCTAAAGCTTGGGGATCTATATTTTGATTTAGGTCAATCATTGTCAATTTGGTCCAATTTGGTCTGGTAAGCTCAGAAAATTAAAATAAATATGTGCAAAACAACAATAAATATAAGTATAAAAAAATATAACAATGAAATCAAAATCAGAAAACTATTCCAGGCTGTACTATCAAGGATAACCTATACACATTAACTCAGAGAAGTGTTGTATGAAGTTTTTTCTCAATTAAGCTTTTTTTGACAAACTTTCTGCACAATATTATAAAAGCAAAGCCTACATTTATGTTTCCTTATTATCTTTCATTCACATATAGAATGTTCACTTGGGGAGATTCTCAGCTGGTTTTTTCCTTCCAATTCTTGAGATCTGACTTCTTCGTACCCTAAATTACTTTGGTAATCTCCGTAATTCATGTGTCAACCACACAGCGATACTCAGTAGGACCAGTGATCCAGATTGATGTGTAGCAGCCACTGGTGTAGGTACATATGTTAATAATGTTGTTATTCCCAAAGATACCTACAAAATAATTGAAACATGTTGTTTTGTAACAGTAAAATGTATTTTAAGTAGTAAGAAGTCAAAGCTACTGATATTGATACATCCTGTGAGAGTCAAGGGCAGCTAAAGACAGGGTATGAATTATACATCCAGTGAGTCAAGGGCAGCTAAAGACAGGGTATGAATTATACATCCAGTGAGAGTCAAGGGCAGCTTAAGACAGGGTATGAATTATACATACAGTGAGAGTCAAGGGCAGCTAAAGACAGGGTATGAATTATACATACAGTGACACAGCCAGGCATAAATCATATTAAATGCTACCAATTAACCAAAATAGAGAAAGGGTATATTTTGCATGTGTTATGTTGAGAAAATATGGATGTTCTGCAGTTTCAGCTTTTTTCAGTAAAATAAAAATCTATTGCTTTCATCCTCCTTCAAATTAACTTATAAATCTTTTTTGAAATATTTCTGTTAATAGTCCAATAGATATCCCCTCTGTACATAACCAGGTGTTGACATTAGTTTTTTTTAAATGGCCAATGGATTAGTATAAACTATAATAAAATGTTTTAAGTATAACATGGTCAATCATAGAGTTGTTGCAAGCATTCATAATGTGTATACAACACTCTACTAATTTAGCATTCCTATTTCAACCAGACATTGAAACATCCTTCACAGCAATACGTTCATTTCTCAGCTCTGCACTTACAACAACCACGTGAACTGGCCATTAAAAGACAATGATTGGTTCTTAATTGTATGATATGTGTCATCTATTTATTATAATTTTGAAAAATGTATAAACTTCAGAGATATCTACAAAGACAACACAATATATTGAAAATTCAAATGTACAAAAATCTATTTTTCCTTGTTACAATAAAATGCTCCGCTGGGGCGCAGCTTGATACGACCGCAGAGGTCGAACCCTGAACAGTTGGGGCAAGTATGGACACAACATTCAAGCTTGATACAGCTCTGAATTTGGATTGTGATTAAATATTTGACACAGCATAGGTTTCTGACACAGAATTAATGTGGTCTAAGAAAATTTTAATTTACCTACTCAAACCATATCATTATTATTTGCTTTTATATATAAATCAGAAATAACTGATTTAAAATGGTAAATTTTAAAGAAAAAAAAGAAAAAAAAAATCCCCCCCCAAATTTTTTGAACCCCCTTATGATTCATCACCCCAAAACTCAATAACAGCCTTCCCTTTGTGGTATGGTACCTTGCAGTACAATTTCAGAGAGATCCATACACTTGAACACAAGTTATTGTCTGGAAACTAGAAAAATGCTTGTTTTTTGGCCCCTTTTTGGCCCCAAATTCCTAAATGTTTAGGGCAATTACCCCCAAACTCAAATCCAGCTTTCCCTTTGTGATATGGAACCTGGTAGTACAATTTCATAAAGATCAATACACTTACACACAAGTTATTGTCCTGAAACTAGAAAAATGCTTGTTTTCTGCCCCTTATTGGCCCCTAATTCCTAAAAATTTGAGGAAATTACCCCCAAAATCAATAACAGCCTTCCCTTAGTGGTATGGTACCTTGCAGTACAATTTCAGAGAGATCCATACACTTGAACACAAGTTATTGTCTGGAAACTAGAAAAATGCTTATTTTTGGCCCCTTTTTCCTAAACGTTTAGGGCAATTACCCCCAAACTCAATTCCAGCTTTCCCTTTGTGATATGGAACCTTGTAGTACAATTTCAGAAAGATCCATACACTTACAAACAAGTTATTGTCATGAAACTAGAAAAATGCTTGTTTTTTGCCCCTTTTTTGGCCCCTAATTCCTAAAATTTTGAGGCAATTACCCCCAAAATCAATCCCAGCATTCCCTTTGTGATATGGAACCTTGTGGTACAATGTCAAAGAGATCCATACACTAACACACAAGTTATGTCTGGAAGTTACAAAAATGCTTATTTTTGGCCCCTAATTCCTTAACTGTTGGTACCATAACCCCCAAAATCAATCCCAACCTTCCTTTTGTGGTATTGAACCTTATGGTAAAATTTCATAGAGATCCATTCACTTAAACTAAAGTTAGAGTGCGAAAACCAATGTGTCTTCGGACGACGACGACGCCAATGTCATACCAATATACGACCCCAAAATTTTTTTGCAGTCGTATAAAAAATGTATAAATAGGTACAATAACTAACCTGTATAATACTCATTGCAAGTAATGCATTGACTGCCATTCTTGCTCTGGGTGGAAGGGGAGCTTTCCGACACATCCACCAAAATCCAGCTATCAACAGCACGGTACTCTCTGCCTACAAACAGAATAAATTACAAATATACATTTATAAGCATCTTATAAATTTGTTATAACAATGAATTACAGAGGTAAATTAAAACGTAAACCCTTTTTACATGCCTTGTTAACTAAAATCAAAGGTCAGTCCAAATTTTGATGACAAATGAAAACCAACAAATAAAAAAAAGATCAGCTTGAGATTATTTTAAGGTACAGTAAAATGCACATTATCAGGTTTTCCTAGGACTGTATCACCCTTCTCAGTTCTAACCAAAATTCCACAACAAGGATTTGTGACATCAAATTTGTTTGATGTGGCCTTATTAACTTTGTCCAGGACTTGTCATAACCATCATTAATGTTGTCCTTTACATAGCAGTTAGTAAACTTCTGATAAGGTTGTGAACCAAAGAAAACTAATGTTGAAGACATATAAACTACATAACTAAAATACAATCAATTCAATAATCACATTTTTCTTAATAGAAAAAGAAATGCCCCTACTACTATTGCAGGTGGGGCATAAAAATCTATCAAACTTGAAACTATCTTTAAGTATTCATACCAGGTGTCTGTGGTTGAATTGCACAAAGGTTGGATTCTCAAAAATATTTTTCCATTTTGGATCAATTGTCCACATATCAGTTGGAATCCATCTGTCTGCCATTTTAGGCCATGAATTGTATGTTAAACCAGCATCTAACCCAGCTACAAAGGCTCCTGTAAAAAGATATTTGTAACTGTGTACATAATTATTGATGTAGGTATCAATCAATATATTGTCAAAATAGAAAATGTTGATATTTAGCTTTTCATTGGCATATCTCAATATGTGATATTCTTGTGCTTTAATAGCATCAATCTAAAAAAAAAAGAAATCAATAATCTGTAAAAAAAAAAAGTTCATTCTGCATGCTTCTGCCATCTTAGCAGCTTATCAAAATGAAATATTGGATTACAAAAGAGGATTCTGAATAAAAGATGATCATAAAATTGAAATGCACATTTTCAGATCTTTAAACAATTTTGATTTTTGGTTTAATACAGTTGAAACTACTTTAAAACAATACATTTGTTTTCCTTTAATCTTCAATTCAGTAAAGTGTCAATTGATAGTGATTTTGCTAACTAAGCTAGGATGAAAAAAGTGCAATGTTTTGACTTTTTAGCACCTGTTAACTTAGAAAATATTAAAGCTCTCATCAAGAGGAACCCAAGTTTCCTATCGAAGGTCGTGGTTTTCTCCGGGCACTCTGGCTTCCTCCACCAATAAAAACTGGCCGCCACGAAATAGCCCAAAAGCGGTGCTTAAAAGTGGCGTTAAAACACCAAAAATCAAATCAAGAGGAACCCAAGATAAGAAAATTTATCTAAAATAAGTGAAAAAAGCTTTGTGAAATGGAAACAAACAATTCAACTCTTTAGCCACTTATTAATAACTAAGAAAGTAGAAGAACTATCACAAATCTAACTATCAGATGTGTTGATAAAATTTGTTTCTTTCTTAATATACCTATCATAAGTAATTTGAAAAGAAAAACAAAGAAACAAAATCCAACAAATCTGATAAAATTTAAATGCTGTACATCAAAATTAGTGAACCATTTTTTAAGGGTCTTTTTTTTGTTTGTTCATAATCTTTTTTAGCTTTTATCGATTGAACAAAAGTCTATTTTGCATCTAAAGATGGAAAAATATTTGCTATATTCAATTATACAAAAACTGAAGTTGACTTAAATACTGATAATAAAGAAGGAAATTACATGCTTTCCATACATATTTAAGATCTGATAGTTTACCTGAAATAGCTGTTATAAATATCAAAGCTTTCATTCCATGAGCCATTCCTTTAATTCGTCTCATCTCCTTAGTAAACTCAATCTAAAATGAAGTCCAACTCTCATTAAAAATCACCAAAATCATGCAAAATTTACAAAAAAGGTCAGTGTTTACATAAAATGGTACTTCCTTCAGTATTTCACAAATGTGACATTTCTTAAAAATTAAACTTGTTAGCAAAAGAATCAAATGTACAATATTTTTATATTAATGTAATACCAGTACTCAATGTGTCATGTCTGCTTTGCCAGCATCTTACATGCGTTCAAAGTCAAAACTGATTAATGCTTTTATTTTTATATCATACTACATTTGTCCCAATGCCTTTACTTTAATGTCATATCCCATGCGTTATATTTTCAAGTATTTCATGTTAATGCCATAGTAAACATGTGTTCTATGATCTATACTAAAAATTTAATTCCAAGTGTTAAATGTTCAATGCCTTTATTGAGGATCATACCTTAAATGCGATGGGTCATATTAGTTGTGTTCTTTTTTCATACCTTAAATGTAATGTGTCATATGTGTTCTTTTTTCATACCTTCAATGTAATGTGTCATATAAGATGTGCTTTTTGTTCATACCTTTAATGTGATGTGTCATATTAGATGTGTTCTTTGTTCATACCTTTAATGTAATGTGTCATATAAGATGTGATCTTTGTTCAATGGCCTTATTTGCATTTTATTCAATGTGTTCTATGCTCAATGCCCTTATTTCAATATACCAAAGTCTATAAAATTTTAATTCTTGCACTGTCACAAAATGATGTACTGCTTTTTTAATGGTCTATAGGAAGTTATTTCTTCCATAATATATATCAAAATCAACCTTATAAAAAATGATATACATTCAACTTACTTTATTATAAGGAAGAATATGAGTTAATCCAGACCACAGAAATAATGTATATAAAATAAACGCAGAACCAAGATGAGATGCTAATCTATATTGGCTAACTCTTGGAATATCTGTTTCTTTTTGCTTTTCTTCTAAACCACTTTTCACCATGTACCATCCAAGAAATCCCTAGATTATATAATAAGATTTTTATACCTAACATTTATCAGTATATAATTAGTATAACAAGCAATGTTGCCTACTGGTTGTAACTTTAACATTGGATGAGTTTACACTTATATGGGACAAGAATTAAGTTGTTACTGATGTTGAAAGGAATTTTCATCTTATCATTAAATAAGTCAGAATATTTACAATCAACTCAATCTGTAACTTCATATAATATGACCAAATAGCAAATATCTAATGAATTATTTCAGGATATTATAAATAAGTGTGGAAAACCTACCTTAACAGAGATACTGACGGACTAACTGATGAACAGAATGCAAACCTTTAGTTTCATCATCTTTACCAGTATGGGACTACAATTTTGGAGATATGGCATGATTGCCAATGTGGAAGCTATGGCATGATTGCCAATGTGGAAGCTATGGCATGATTGCCAATGTGAAAGCTATAAAACAAAGACCAAAGGACATGGATGATGCCCACAAGTTACTTCTCCTTAATCTTAAATTAGTATGCATAGGACCTGCTACTAACATTTAACAGTTGAAACTGACAATTTGTAAGGTATATAAACTGTTGACATAGAGATATGTCTCAGAAAATTCAGTAAAAAAGACAATCTGATGGACAGCAACCTTGCTTATTAATTCAGTCACTACACCATGATCTAGTGTGCAGGGCCTGAAAATGGTCAACAAACTGAGATGTACCGGGTACAGACAGTAATGTAACTTTATAGAAAATATCATTGTTTATTGTAATTAGTTCCTATCAATATAACTTAAGCAGAAAAAAATAACATTGAAAATTGCTAATTAATTTAAAGTCACTGGACCATGTCCTAGGGGACAGGGCCTCAAAACAGTCGTCAAACTGATATGTACTGATAGTAATGCAACTTTATACAAAATATCATTGATCTATCACAAGTAGTTCTTATCAAACTGACTTAAGCAGAAAATCTTAACATTGAAAATTGCTAATTAATTTAAAGTCACTGGACCATGTCCTAGGGGACAGGGCCTCAAAACAGTCGTCAAACTGATATGTACTGATAGTAATGCAACTTTATACAAAATATCATTGATCTATCACAAGTAGTTCTTATCAAACTGACTTAAGCAGAAAATCTTAACATTGAAAATTGCTAATTAATTCAAAGTCACTGGACCATGACCTAGGGGGCAGGGCCTCGAAATAGTCATCAACTGATATGAACTGATAGTAATGCAACTTCATACAAAATATCATTGATCTATCACAAGTAGATCCTATCAAACTAACTAAAGCAGAAAACTTAACATTGAAAATTGCTAATTAATTCAAAGTCACTGGACCATGTCCTAGGGGGCAGGGTCCCAAAATAGTTGTCAAACTGATATGTACTGATAGTTATGCAACTTTATATTAAATATCAATGATCTATCACAAGTAGGTCCTATCAAACTAACTTAAGCAGAAAACTTAACAATTGTTTACGCCATCGCCGGAAAAGCAATCCCTATGTCTTGCTTTCCGCGACTTTCGTTGCAGGCGAGACAAAAATAGGTTGTCTGTTTTAAGTTTTAACTGTTCAAAATATGCTGAAAAAAGAATTTGTGGTAACAATAAACTGGCTTTTTCTTTCTCTATCTTTTATCTACAATACACGTTTTATCATAATTAAGAAAGGAAAATTTATAGAAAGTTTTATTTTTAGCTGAGCTTGATTGCATCAACAGCTGTAAAGAAACCCTGGATTGAAATATTGCTTGAAAAAGGAAGTAACATCTGATACAGTAGAATAAAGAGAGTTATTAGGATACATATGATCACATATCATACACAAATTTCAATTTTTTTCAGCCATTGATGGAAGTAATATAATATAAGTTTTACAAAAGAAAACATTTGACATCACAAACCAAAAGTGGTTGTTCTGCAACATAATTAGGTCAAATGGTGCAAAATTGAAGTTAGTCTTAGTTAAATGAAACTGTGAGCTACTGCTCACTGATGATACCCCCGCCCAAATAGTTGACGGTTAACAGGAAGTTGTTGAGTGATGAATCTGAAAACGCATCACACAGTATAGCTGATTAATATAAACCCTGAAACCAAATTTCAGAAATCCATGTAATGTAGTTCCTGAGAAAGATGCGACGAAAAATATTCATGGGACGGACAGACGGATGGACGGATGGACTGACGGATAGATGGATGGACGGATGGACGGATGGACAGACAGAGGTAAAACAGTATACCCCCACTTTTTTAAAGCAGGGGTATAATTATAATTTAGTGATATGAAGTAAATACACCATATATCCCTTCTGTTTTCATTTCAAAAATAGTACAGTCGTGTAACTCTGACAGTAATATTCGTATATCAATTTAAGTAGAAAATATCACAAGTAGACTAACTTTTCATAGCTATTACATAATTGCTAAAAATGAATACCCCTTTTAGTTGTTACAACATTAATCTTTATGAATGCATTTTCATTGTCCATTATTTCAAACTTATTTACAGCTTCAACATATTTATCTTACAAAAGTCAAAAAATTTCATTACATAACAAGAGTCCAGAAACAATCATACACTCTTGACATATTTGTCAGTCAAAACCTTATCTAATCAATAACAGATTTAGAACACCATTTTTCCCTTAATTTATGGTTATAAAACTGCCACTCTGGTATTATATGATAATCCATAGGTCCTATTCATCATCTAAATACCCTGGTAGATTTTGGCTAATGATCACTTATCACTTTTTACCGATATACAGCCCTGACAGGATATTGAAGTGATTAAAGCCCATAACTAATATTATAAAAAAAATTCTATTCCATGACTAAGTTATTTGATTATATTTTTAATAGCTTTTCAGCAAAGACTTTCGACTATTCTGATTTAAAAATTTAGCTTTTATTCAATTACGTAGAAAAGGTTTTATTCTACGAGCCAACTTGTGCTTTACTATCTATGTAATATGCATGCGTGCAAGTGTTCTTCCATTCGACAGTAAGTAAGATCATGAAATAATAGCTGTGAAACCTTTACGAGTTTTGTTATGTTGTGACTTCAAGTATGAATTTGACTGTTTGAAAGAGAGAGAGAGAGGCGAAAGATACCAAAGTCCTCTTAAAATAACAAAGGAGAAGGTCTGGTAAGGGCTTTTTTTGGCCTTAAATTTAAAATACATCTGATGAAAGATTTTTGACATTTTTAAAATACTTAAGTGTCTTCTTCAGTTGATTCAATTAGTTGTAAAATATTTGAACTGATTTGGTCATTAAAGACGCCTAGATTAAAGCTTGAATATGAAAAATCTATCAAATATGCCACAAAACTTCACTTTTCAGATGGTTTTTGTCTAAAATGGAAGTGGCCGCATTCATGTTCAGTCTCAACCTGTATAATTATATGTTATGTATCATCATCAAATACAACATATATTTAAATATTAAGACTGAACACAAGTATGGCCACTTCCATTTTAAACAAAAAACATCTAAAAATACGCACAAATGCAAAAATTGTGAAGATTTAAGTAATTTTGCATGAATTAATGATGGTAGTACCTGATGCATGTGCATTGCATTGTCAAAAACAGCCCATATGTATGTAACAAAAGTATTATTCTTTCCAATAAATAGCTAAAAGTTTACATTTTTAACAAATTTTTGAAATGCTACACTTTGGGGCCAAAAAGGGGTCTTACAGGTCCTACTCCTTTAGTGATTTTTTTTAAAATCCTTGGTACATAATAAATATACCTGAAATCCAAGCAGTGCTGTTAATGCTATCATACGTGGCTTCATTCCTTTTGAAATCCATCCCTTCTTTAGAAAATATGCACCAGGTAAAAGAAATGCCATTCCTATTAACCGTCCCCACATTCTATGGCCATATTCCATGTAAAAAATGAACTTAAAATCTGATAAGGTCATTTCATGCTGTGCATTTACACTGTAAAATAGAAAACAGGAGTTTTTTAGAAACAGTACCTTCAACATTTTTCTTGAAAAGAATTGATTGCCAGTTATTCGATACAGGTTTTTTGTAGAAATCAGAATTTGATATCTGCTTCAATTTCTCCTATTATCAAATAAGAACACTTTACTTATATTGTCATTTAAAACCATAACTTTTGTATGTATTGATTTTATACTAACAAATAGTTTTTTAGCATTGCAGTGTAAATGTAATTATTAAACAGTCATATAAATTTTATTGGTATTCAACCCTTAACATTAACAGGATAGTAATCATGGTAATGATTGGCTACCCTCACCTCACTTGCAGTTTCAAACCCTTCCTACAAATAGATTTTATATTACAAGACACTGTATGGTTAAGGTGGTACATAACATTACAGGGAGATAACTCTGTAAAAATCAGCTGAACGTTTTAATCATGTTCTATTGTTAAGGAAGTATTAAGCTTCTCAATGATCAAAATTAGTGTTTGTCAAACTGCTATATATCCAATGAAATTTTTCCGAGAAAGTGTGTGGTTCAAGTTTTTTGAAATTTTTATATTTTTGTCAAAGGGTCAAAGTAAAAATTTTGTCAAAATTTTATGAAAATTAAACGAGCCAAATTAATTTTATTCAAGGTGTTTGGTACCACCATAATAAATATATCAGAATCTTACTATTTATATTCTGGAAACTGTTTATATTTTTCAAATTCTTCCTCCCATTCTTTCAGATTTTGTGGTGGTTTCATGTCTTTTAACAGGCGCCAATCAACCATTGATAACCCAGATTCTGTTAATCTACAAATATTGAAAAATGTCAATTACTTTATATTCAGAATATAATGATGTGCATTTATTATTCCGATTGTTGAAGAATGAACAAAAATGTGAGTTTTATCATTGCGATTTTAGGAAAAGCTACATACATTGTACATAAATATCAAATATCAGAATGCGAGTTCTTATTATTGCGATACTCAAGGAGTCGCATTATTCGCATTAATTAAAACATTCGAACTAATTTCGGAATTTTCAGTATACAAAAATGTTGTTGGAAAAGTAATAAGCAAGATGTTGAGAAAAATTAAGTAATTATATGCATAACATGCATACAGTTTACATTTTATATATCTATATATATGTTACATATACAGACCCAGATCCAGTATTAAGTTAAAGAGAATATAACTTAAAATTGAAAATATATTATTAATGTTATGCTACATATAGATTAACCACCAAGAAGAAATGTGCTACCAAACAAGACTAACTTCCTACATATTTTGAGGCATTAAGCATATGTAATCAAGTTTTCAAAATAAAAGAAATGAAATCTTGGATTTCTATTTTGCCCATAAGGCAAAAAAAAATATATGTCTGTTTACAGTTACCCGACCGACCCTACTTTTGAGCGCCTACCCTTAGTCATTTTATTCCTGTTGTAAAGTGAAAAATTAACTGAACTCGTGTTAAAAGCGAAGTTAGAGTTGTCAATAAAATAAATCAATTGCCTGATATATAATATAAATTTTCACAATCATGAATATGACAGCTGTTTTAAGAAACTTGAGGCTCTTGTGATGAAATAAACACTTTGCCGACTTTTTCCCAACCAATAACCAAGGGAAATAATCCAATCATTAAAAAAACAGGTAAACTTGGCCCATGGACAACTCGGACCACGGCAAGACGCACCGTACAACTCAAAATCATTATATTCATATCGCCAAAAAAAAATGGAAATACAGACCTACCTACCCTATTTTTTTTTTAATAATGTAACCTTAAACAGACATATATTTTTTTTTGGCCTAAGATATTTCACAAATTCACTGGAAAATAATAGTGCATGGGTAAAAATGTTGATCATTAAAATAAAATGTTGATGCATCAGAAAAGAAATTTTAATCCGATGAAGTGATAAAGGAACAAACCGTGTTACACCACCCAATATAACAGCACCAAAACACATGCCAGCACAGCCTATCAACCATCCTCCAACTATCTTTTGGGCACGTAATGGAATTTCTGGGTTTTGTATAGCTACTGTGGTGGTTTGTCTTAATGGTTGTAAAATTCTTGATATTGGTATACTAAACTGTTGAATAAAAAAATATTAGCTTTGAACATTACATTTGTTTATACATCTGATTTCATGCATGGTGTTTCATAAGTTCAAATCCATTACAATTAATTTTTTAAAACATAGATACATTTTTTGTACACTGACAAGTCTAAGAAGTATTCCCTCTGAGAAATTCAATCACATAAAAGCATCCAAATCTGCCTTAAATCATAAGAAAAGGCTATTAACTAAACAGCCACTTTTAAGCCTTTTTCATGCCTTTCATGTCAGATCCCATAAGAGCTAGGTCAAATCTGATTCAAAAAACACAGGCAGGGAATTTCATACAGAATTCATCTTAAGAATAACATAAAAATCTAAATCAACTTATTATAATTCAAAATATAAGAATTTGACTTCTTTTGAACTCATTATTTCAGAAGTCAGAACAGCCATCTGGTATATGCACTTGTTATCTAAAATAGAATTGAATAAGATTAAGAATAGAAATTGGACCAAAGAAGTTAATTATGTACATGCTCCATATAAAAATAATCAAAAATATTATTTTTAGGACTCTTGCTTTTTTCACTGTAATTACCTTCTTAGGTATCCTTTGCCATCTTGGATTGTAAAAAGCAAAACACAATTGTTCTAGATGTTTAATGAAATATGCCAATTTTCACAAAAGAATGTAATTCATTAGTATGATTTTTTAAGTAAATGAAGTAAACTATGTGTTTCATCTTATTACTTTGGCAAAGTATGAAAATGATCATAAATTTAAATTTCTGTCTAATTGATCAACTGGAAACCCACTTATTGCATAAAACTATTGTAGTTTTAAGACAAACCAAAGCACCATACAGTTTCTACACATGCCTACACTTTTTGGAGTCACATAAAAAACAAAGGTGTTGTCATAAACAATCAATTTTGACAAATTTCTTTTTATTTCTGTTAGCCATTGACCATGAAGCAAACAACAAAAGAATAGGATGGTTATCTACCACCAAATTAGAGGACCTTGATTTTGCAGACGACCTTGCACTATTATCTTTCAAATTCCAACATATTCAGCTGAAAACAAACAAACTTCAAGAAAATTCCAGCAAGATAGGATTGAAGATAAACATGTCCAAGACAAAAGTAATGAGGATGAACACCCCTCATTACAACCCTGTGAATTTATATGAAAAAGATCTAGAGGATGTTGATACCTTCACTTACCTAGGAGGAATAGTAACAACAAAATGTGGCTGTGACAATGATACAGACAATCATTCTGAGAGTATTGCATGGCAATACATACCGGTAGTCCCCTACCCGTTAAAGATTCATTGTACTGGAACAAAATTCTAACTTGGTCTACAAATTGTCATGGTGTAAACTACATAACAAATATCAAGTCAATATCTTCAAGCATGACAAAAAAAAGTGTGGAAAACAAGGACCATAACTATGCACAAAATCATCAGACCAGAACAAAATTTGAACTTGATCTGTAACTTGTCATGATAAAACTATATACAAATTATCAAATCAATATCTTCAAGCATGACGAAAAAAGTGTGTGAAACTGATTATTTGAGTGAATTTTCTAGGTCCAAGGACCATAACTCTGCACAAAATCATCAGGCCCAAACAAAATTAGAACTTGATCTGTTACTTGTCATGATAAAACTATATACCAATTATCAAATCAATATCTTCAAGCATGACGAAAATAAAATGCTTCGCTGGGGCGCAGCTTGATACGACCGCAGAGGTCGAACCCTGAACAGTTGGGGCAAGTATGGACACAAAATTCAAGCTTGATACAGCTATGACTTTGGATTGTCATTAAATATTTGACACAGCATAGGTTTCTGACACAGGATGAATGTGGTGTAAGAACTGGAAAAAATTTAATTTACCTATTATGGTGGAATATCCATAAACTAAATTGTTTGTTAATTTCAATATATCAAAGAATATGTAGAATTCAATGTTTGATGTAATGTAATAAAGTTGAAATTTGGACCGTTTTTGTTCAATGTGGACCAATTTGGTAACATGTATAAATAATCAAAAATCTAAATACATGGGAGCCCATTTAAATACATCATAAAGGTATTAAAATAGAAAGTGACATCATAGTCATGGCTAAAAATAAACAAAAATCCTTAATCAGCAACATTTAAAGTAATATCTAAAAATAAAATTCCTTTGTAACCATAAAAGCCCATTTAAATACATCATAAAGATATTAAAATAGAAATTGACATCATAGTCATGGCTAAACATAGCAAAAAACCCTTAATCAGCATCATTTAACAGTAATATCTAAAAATGGAAATTACATCATAAAGGTATTAAAATAGAAAATGACATCATAGTCATGGCTAAAAATAAACAAAATCCTTAATCAGCATCAGCAACATTTTATAGTAATATCTAAAAATAAAATTCCTTTGTAACCATAAAAGCCCATTTAAATACATCATAACAGATATTAAAATAGAAAATGACATCAAAGTCATGGCTAAACATAGCAAAAACCTTAATCAGCATCATTTAACAGTAATATCTAAAAATAAAAATTTCTTTGCAACCATAAAAGTAAAATAGAAAATGACATCATAATCATAGCTAAAAATAAACAAAAATTTTTTTATTGGCAAATTTTAAATGGAGTTTATTATACTAAAACAATAAATTTGCAACCATAAACATGATAAAACCCTATTTAAACACATCATAAAAGTATTAAATAATTCAACTACATCATAAGGCTATAAAAATAGAAAATGACTTCATAGTCAAGGCTAAAGGTAAACAAAAAACCTTCATCAGCAAAATGTTATATTGGCAAATTTCCAATGAAGTTTATTACACTAAAATTGTTGGCAAATTTCCAATGCATTTATTAACAATAAAGTTATTGGCAAATTTCCAATTTACATAATTTAAAAGCAGTGTAGATGAGATATTTAAATGAGTTTGAATTACCAACCTTACACTGCTTTTAAATAATGTTCTTTACTCAATTATTTGTCTATTAAAATGGAAACCCTTGTTTTTTAACCTTTTTTCCCCTTATTCCTTAAACATTAGAGCCATAACCCCCCCCCCCCCCCCCCCCCCCCCCCCCCCAAAAGCCAATTATTACTTTCCAATGTAACCTAAATTTCCAATATACATAATTTTAAATTTCAATTCCTCATGATATATAACCGTATCATTATTATTTTCTTTCATATATAAATCTGAAACAACCATCTTTAAATGGAAAATTTTAAAGAAAAAAAAAAGGAAAAAAAAAAATCCTACCTCCCACACATTTTTTCAACCCCCTTTTGATTCATCATCCCCCACCTCAATCACAACCTGCAATTTGTGGTATGGTACATTGCAATACAATTTCACAGAGATCCATACACTTGAAAACAAGTTTTTGTTGCAAACTAAAAAAATCCTTATTTTTGACCAATATTTGGCCCCTTATTCATAAATGTTTGAGCAATTAACCCCAAAACTCAATTCCTACTTTCTCTTCGTGATAAAAAATAACTAACTTAAAATGTAAATTTTAAACAAAAAAAAAGGAAAAAAAAAAAATTACCCTTTTTTTGACCCCCGCCCCCTTATGATTCATCACCCCCACCCCCCTTTCCCCCCCAAACCAAGCTCAATAACAGCCTTGCCTTTGTGGTATGGTACCTTGTAATACAATTTTAGAGAGATCCATACACTTGAACACAAGTTATTGTCTAGAAACTAAAAAATGCTTATTTTAAACCCCTTTTTAGGCCCCTTATTACTAAACGTTTTGGGCAATTACCACAACACTCAATTCCAGCTTTCCCTTTGTGAAATGGAACCTTGTAGTAAAATTTCAGAAAGATCCATACACTTACACAAGTTATTGTCATGAAACTAGAAAAATGCTTGTTTTTTGCCCCCTTTTGGCCCCTTATTCCTAAAATTTTGAGGCAATTACCCCCAAAATCAATCCCAGCATTGACCCTTTGTGATATGGAATCTTGTGGTACAATGTCAAAGAGATCCATATGCTAACACACAAGTTATGTCTGGAAGTTACAAAAATGCTTATTTTCGGCCCCTTTTTGGCCCCTAATTCCTTAACTGTTGGTACCATAACCCCCAAAATCAATCCCCACCTTCCTATTGTGGTATTGAACCTTATGGTAAAATTTCATAGAGATCCATTCACTTAAACTAAAGTTAGAGTGCGAAAACCATTGTGTCTTCGGACGACGACGACGCCAACGTCATACCAATATACGACCTCAATATTTGTTTGCGGTCGTATAAAAAGTGTGGAAAACTGATTATTTGAGTGAATTTTCTAAGTCCAAGGACCATAACTCTGCACAAAATTATCAGACTGGAACAAAATTTGAACTTTATCTGTAATTATAACTGGTCATGATAAAACAATATACCAAATATTAAATCAATATCTTCAAGCACGAAGAAAAAAAGTGTGGAAAACTAATTTGCTGGACTGACGGATAGACAGACAGACAGACAGACAGACAGACAGACAGACCTAAAGTCCCCTTTGACTTCGTCAGTAGGGGACTAAAAACAGGTTAGTAAAAGTCAAAGGCCAATTTAGCAGGGTAAAACAATATACCAAATATTAAATCAATATCTTCAAGCACGAAGAAAAAAAGTGTGAAAAACTAATTTGCTGGACTGACAGACAGACAGACAGACAGACAGACAGACGGAGTACAAACCTAAAGTCCCCTCGACTTCGTCAGTAGGGGACTAAAAACAGGTTAGTAAAAGTCAAAGGCCAATTTAGCAGGGTTAAGGAAAATATGGAGATCACCAGTATTGTCATTCAAAACAAAGGTCAAGTTATTCAACAGTTTGGTTATCGGTACTACTGTATGGATGTGAAACCTGGAAAACAACAAAACAAGATAAAAAGAAATTAAACACCTTTCATAATAGATGTCTGAGACAAATTCTGAGAATAAGATGGTCCAACACCATATCAAAAGAAAACCTTCACATCAGAGCTGGAACAAAGAAATGAAGTGATGATATTATGGAATGGCGTTGGAGCTAAATTGGCCATGTACTAAGAATGGATACCAACATTATATGTGCAGTGGCATTGACATGGAAACCAGAGGAAAAAGGGAAAGTTGGACTTCCAAAACCACCTGGAGGTGGACTGTTGAGACAGTAAGAACAAAACGAAAGATGGACCAGCTGGGCTACAGCAAGGAAAACAGCTAAAGACCATGTGAAATGGAAAGAATGTATCCATACCTTAAATGTTGACCAGCATGAAGAGGATAGGTGAGCAAGTTTAAAGGGAGATCATACATTGTACCTTTTTCTTCACTGGCATGTTTACTTGTACATCTCTATATAAATAATACATAATGACATTGTACATGTACTAACTGCATATCTAACAAAGGTAATTAACTGCCTATAAAAATAAAAAGATCTGGTATAATTGCCTATGAGACAACTCTCCACCAGAGACCAAATGACATAGAAGTTAACAGCTATAGGTCACCGTAGTGACCGTACGGTCTTCAACAATGACACAAAATGAACATTTGAATGAGCAAAACCCATACTGCATAGTCAGCTATAAAAGGCTGCGAAATGACAAATGTAAAACAATTCAAACGAGAAAACTAACAGCTTGATTTAAGTAAAAAATAATGAACTAAAAACAAATATGATATACAGCAATGAACGACAACAACTGAATTACAGGCTCCTGACTTGGGAAAGGCACATACAGAATGTGGCGGGGTTAAACTAGTTTGAAGGTGCCAACCCTCCCCTAACCTGGGACAGTGATGTAACAGTACAACATAAGAACAAACTATAATAAATTGCTTCGCTGAGCGCAGCTGGATACGACCCCAGATGTCTAACCCTGAAAAGTTGGGGCCAAAATGGACACAATATTCACGCTTGATACAGGTCTGAATTTGGATTGTAATTAAATTTTTGACACATAATAGGTTTCTGACACAGAATAACTGTAGTCTAAGAACTTCAAATTGGTTATATGATCTGAATTTATATTCAATTTTTGGTTTTGTGCAATACACTATGCAGTTTCGAATTGACCCCCCCCCCCCCAAAAAAAAATAATTTTATCCCGGTTTTTTGCTTTTGTGCAATACACTATGCTGTTGAATATCAACCCCAAAAAAAAATATTTGAAGAAATTTTCTTTTAATTTCTGAAATCTGAAATGAGAAAAATTGTCCCCCCCTCCAATTTTTTTCACCCCCCCCCCTTTCCCTTATTCCAAAAAAAATTCTTTCCCTCAAGATATGGTCAGTATCTCAATTCAAATTTATAAAGGAGTTTGCAACCATAATTACCCATTTAAATACATCATAAAAGTCTTAAAATATAAAATGATATACATAGTCATGGCTAAAATTAATTAATATTAATTAATAGTAACTGCTAAAAATAAATTGATAGCTAATCACCTCAAGACAATCATCATTTCTTAATACATAATTTACAAGCAGTGTATGGGAGGTAATCAAACATTGTTCTTTAAAATTATTTTGGATTACCTCCCTTACACTACTTTTAAATTCTCTCAATTGTCCTTCAACCAGAAAAACCCTTGTTTTCCCCTTATTTTGCCCATAATTCCTAAATGGTTTGAGCCATAACCCCCCAAAGTCAATCCTAACCATCCCTTTGTAGTATGGAAACTTGTGGTATAATTTCAGAGAGATTCATACACTTTAACACAAGTTATTGTCTGGAAACTACAAAAATGCTTATTTGGGCCCCTTTTTTGGCCACTATTTCCTAAACAGTTGGTGATACCAATATATGACCAAAAAAATTTTAATTTTTGCGGTCATATAAAAAAAATTTAATTTTTGTGGTCGTATAAAATTCAGTTGAAAATGGCGTAACTCATCAGATTGATACAATGCAGAAATACATTTAACAATAAAATGCTCCGCTGGGCGCAGCTTGATACGACCACAGAGGTCGAACCCTGAACAGTTGGGGCAAGTATGGACACAACATTCAAGCTTGATACAGCTCTGAATTTGGATTGTGATTAAATATTTGACACAGCATAGGTTTCTGACACAGAATGAATGTGGTCTAAGAACTTAAAAAATTTTAATTTACCTATTATGGTCCAATATCCAAAATCTAAATACATGGTTAGATTCAGCATATCAAAGAATCCAAAGAATTCAATTTTTGATGAAATCAAACAAAGTTTAATTTTGGACCCTTTTGACCTCAATGTGGACCAATTTGATAATGAGGCCCAAAAATCAAAATACATGGTTAGATTCAGCATATCAATGAACCCCATATATTCAATTTTTGTTGAAATCAAACAAAGTTTAATTTTGGACCCCAACTTGGACCAACTTGAAAACTGGGCCCATAATAAAAAATCTAAACACATGTTTAGATTCAGCATATCAAAGAACCCCAAGAATTCAATTTTTGTTAAATAAACTAAGTTTAATTTTGGACCCTTTGGACCTAAATGTAGACCAATTTAAAAAACGGGACCAAAAATAAAAAATCTAAATACACGGTTAAATTTGGCATATCAAAGAACCCCAATAATTCAATTTTTGATGAAATCAAACAAAGTTTAATTTTGGACCCTTTTGACCTCAATATGAACCAATTTGATAGCGGGGCCCACAAATAAAAAATCTAAATACATGGTTAGATTCAGCATATCAAAGAACCCCATATATTCATTTTTGTTGAAATCAAACAAAGTTTAATTTTGGACACCGATTTGGACCAACTTGAAAACTGGGCCCAAAATCAAAAATCTAATACATGTTTAGATTCAGCATATCAAAGAACCCCATATATTCAATTTTTGTGAAAATCAAACTAAGTTTAATTTTGGACCCTTTGCCCCTTAATGTAGACCAATTTGAAAACCGGACCCAAAATTACAAATCTAAATACACGGTTAGATTCGGCATAACAAATAAATAAATGTGGTCAAAGATTTTACAAATCTAATGCGTCATACTGTGCAATTAAAGATTAAAGATTACTTCTTGAAATTTTTCAATATTTGAAATTTGAAAAAAAATAATATTTGAATAATTCTTTTTACTTTCTGAAATCTGAAATGAGAAAAAATTGACCCCCCAACAATTATTTTTTACCCCCCCCCCCCTTTCCCCCAAAAAATTCTTTCCCTCAAGATATGGTCATAATCTCAATTCAAATTTCCAATGGAGTTTGCAACAATAATTACCCATTTATATTTACCATAGTGCTAACTTAATCTATTTTATAAAAGAATTTAAAATATAGTGTCAAATCTTTCATATGGATTTTTTTGTAAAAAAAAAAAAGATGCAACATCTGCAGATATTTTTACTGGTCTTCCTTTATAAATATGCATTTCTTTAAACATAATTTAAAAGCAGTGTAAAGGAAGTAATCAAAACGTTGTATTTGGATTACCTCCCTTACACTGTTTAAAATTGTCTTAATTGTTCATTAACCATTACTTTATACATAATTTAAAAGCAGTGTAAGGGAGGTAATTCAAATGATGTATTTGATTTATCTCCCTTACACTGCTTTAAATTATGTTTTGTACTTAAGTATTTGTCCATTAACCAGGACAACCTTATTTTTCCCCCTTTTTTGCCCCTAATTCCTAAACGGTTTGAGCCATAACCCTCCCAAAGCAAATCCTAACCATCCCTTTGTGGTATGGAAACTTGTGGTATAATTTCAGAGAGATCCATACACCGTTCCACAAGTTATTGTCTGGAAACTAGAAAATGCTTATTTTTGGCCCCTTTTTGGCTCCCAATTCCTTAACTGTTGGTTCCATAACCCCCAAAATCAATCCAAACCTTCCTTTTGTAGTATTTAACCTTATGGTAAAATTTCATAGAGATCCATTCACTTAAACTAAAGTTATAGTGCGAAAACCAATGTGTCTTCGGACGACGACAACAACGATGCCAACGTCATACCAATATACGAAACACAGAGCAAACGTCGTGACAGGGTACTTATACATCCCTACAACAAAAAAGACAGTAAGTACAGATCTGAGAGTACTTGCAGTGACTGACAGCTAGTTCAAAGCCAATAACAACTCATAAAAAAATCATGCATCTATTTACATCTGTCTATTTACATACTTTAGATGTCAACTTTTTTCCTTTGTTCAGTATTTGATATGGATTTCTGCATGTTCTTAACTGTCTGGTACAAAGTTGTAGTATTGTCTGAAAAAAATAAAGGAAGTATGTTCAGCAAAATCATTTAGCCTAAATTTAAAAGTAACTTTAAAAGGAAAAAAAACATTTGGGATACCAATCTATGTAAATGATATACAGTGTAGTGAAAAGAACACTTGCCAATAACTAATTAAAATTCTTTTTACAGTAAGATACACTACAGCTCAGGTGGATTTTGCTTAGTTGTTGTGTATATTCAAGACCATAACTAGGGATTAATATATTGCTTCGCTGAGCGCAGGTGTTTACGACCGCAGTTGTCCAACCCTGAAAAGTTGAGGTAAAAATGGACACAATATTCATGCTTGATACAGGTCTGACTTTGGATTGTAATTAAATTTTTGACACATAATAGGTTTCTGACACAGAATAACTGTGATCAAAGAACTTCAATTGGTTATATGATTTGAATTTATATTCAACTTTTTGCTTTTGTGCAATACACTATGCGAATTGCCCCCCCCCCCCAAAGTCAATCCTAACCATCCCTTTGTGGTATAGAAACTTGTGGTATATTCATAGAGATTCATACACTTTAACACAAGTTATTGTCTGGAAACTACAAAAATGCTAATTTGGGCCCCTTTTTTGGCCCCTAATTCCTAAACAGTTGGGACCATAACCCCCAAAATCAATCCCAACCTTCCTTTAGTGGTTATAAACCTTGTTATTTTATTGATTTCTATTTACTTATACTAAAATTATTATCCGGAAAACCATCTGTCTTCGGATGACGCTGACGACGACGACAACGTGATACCAATATACGACAAAAAAATTTATAATTTTTGCGGTCGTATAAAAATATTAAGGTTGTCAGTTCAGTACCTTTTATTGTGTATGTTTCAGACCCTTACAAAATTGAAAAATTTATTTTCATAATATAAATTGGAATAATTATATGAAAAGTAGAGACACTTGAGGCCAAGAATTGCTCACCTAGCAAATTTCCATTTACCCCTTCACTGCTAAAGTGAAGATACATTATCATTGCTTCTGATTAATGTATTCTGATGGTTTGGTGAATTGTTTTCCATTGGACAGGATTCATACATGTCATATATAATTATTAAGAACCTTGCATACAAAATCCCTACACAGTTGGGTTTACGCAGGCCAAGCAGTCGCAAAGCAAAAGAAATTGAATAAGTGCTGATTTCATTCTAGTTTTGCACACATATAAAATGAGATTTTTTTTCTAAATTTACAAACGAAATTTATCCACCTTGAATAATTCTTACAAAATCAAACAATAATGGAGACAGTTGTCCTGTTATAGACCTTGGAATTTCAATTTCCCAATGTAAATGTAATAACCTGTTACCATGGTTACCATACCTTTATTTATGATAAACAAGACAAATCTTTTTTCCTTTCCTTGATCATATTGTGAAATTTTGTTGACTCTTTCTTATGGAGTGTATATTTCTCAGTTCGTTCAATACTTTAACTTTATCTGATCACAGATACAGAGAATTATTGTTAAACTTTGATTCCATGTGCATAAGTTAAATAAAAATAGATATTTGGTGTTTGAAAAGCTAGCAAATGTAGGAATTCATCACTGTCCTTCAAATCTGTCTTCTTGGCTTAAAGATAGTGGTTAGAATATTTCTGTTGTTCTTCTATTACTGTCTTGTGAATTTTGGGAAATATATGTCTACTTTCTGAAACTGAAAGTAAAAGTGATGACTTTGAAATCCATCATGTATTTTTACTCTACTCGTCTAAGAAAAATATATGGAGACATCCTAGGACCTAGGACGTACAATTAAAAATTTTACACAAATTATGCCTCATGGACACATCTATAGGCCATAACAGTTGAAATGATTTTGTAAATTATTTATTTCCAATGATTTTGTGAATGTGAATGGTAAATTTATTTGCATGTGCAGACTTTTACACTTACCGAATGACTTTTACCATGAACAAAACCTTTTATCAAGTTTTTTTGGAGGCAACTATTCATCATTTTCGCTTAAGACTGCAGACAGTTTATATAACTGTATATTTTGTCTTATGCAAGTTAGGATTTATTTATAATCGATGTCAATTTAGCGCATCATATCTTTTATCCTTGCTGTCAAACACTCAAAAGATTAAGAAGCAAGAATCATCTAATTCCCAATCAAAAATCACAATGTACCATTCCATTGGTTTTTACACTTTCATACTGATAATAACTGTACAGAATTCTTATACAATTTTGAAACTAGAATCTTATTCTTATCAAATGTAGTATCGAATTTTATTTAACGGTTCATATATTAGTACAGCAACTACAATTAATATTTTTGGTTTTAAGATAGATTATACAGAACCGGAAGCAAATTTTAGCGGCCGAACAGTTTTGGATTGTTTATGTTTTGAAACATTCGATGTTTTCCCCAAAAAGAAAATGCCAAAGCGAAAGGTAAAGGTCACTAGAAACAAGGAAATAGAAGCTACATCTAACTGTTTCCTTATTTCATAAATTTATTCATGTAAAACGCAATAGAATGGTGAGTTTTGATCGATCGATCAATGAAAAATTGATATCTCAGCAAAATGTGTAAATTATAATGGAAGTGCAGATTCAGTTAGTTTACTACTATAGTCATCAGGAAAGTAATTTCATTAAACTGTTAAATTTAGAATATCTTTGAACTTCTGGTATGAAGATTCATTTCTGTTCAACAGGTTGGGAATAAATCCCTAGCCCTAGGTTACTAAAACAGGATTCTCATTAACACATGTTATAGATACACAATTATCTGTCTTGACACACCATTTTATGGAAATGATTATGGGACTGATACAAAGTCAGAACCTAATCATGTGTTTCAGAATCGCAATCACTGAAATAATGGGTATTGACTATTTGGTCATTTCGCCCTAATTACATGTTCACCTTTAGTTTATTCGCTCAAATAGTCGGTTTGCCCTTGGTCCATTTGCAGTATTTTCAAAGAAATCATATTAACGGTTTTAAGGTTTTTATATATCTTTGCTGATATTTTTTTATCAATTTTAAAGAAAATACTATATCTTAAAATTCTTAAAGAAAAACATGAAAATGTTTTAAAATTAATTGATTTTTTTCGAGCAATGATTGGCTTCATTGTTACACTGTCACTGATTTTTTTTTATATTTAATTCATTTTGTATGACTATTGATTGTAATGCTAATGAGGTATGATTATGATGTCTTTCATATCACTGATTTTTATATTGTCTTTGGTGGTTTAGTAATGAAAATAACATTTCAGCTTGGAACTAGTTAAAACAAGCATTTAAAAATATTAATGCAAGGAAAGGAATTTATTTCGCAGCTTGGATCCTTCAATCTTAAGTGTGTTTTCAGTGACAAATTTTGTATTCTGAAGTGGATAATGGAACTTATTCATTCTTCCAAAAAGTATTTATACATACATATACATGTAACTTTGTAAAACATTTAAAAGAAATGAAAGGAGAGAAAAAAAGAGACCCCCCCCCCCCCCCCAAAAAAAAACAAAACAAGACAACCCAGATAACTTTGTCTACAGTTGTCTTGGTATTCATGTGTACTTCATGATCAGTGCAAAAAAAGCAATATAATTATCTGGTAGCAGCAATACAACATAAATATTCGGTGAAATTTTCAACACACAAAATTCAAATAATATATTATGCCATTATACAACAGGATAACAAAATGCAATAAGAATCATGGGGAACATGTATTAGGGTGAAAGTGAATCAGGTGGAACATGTATAAGGGTGAAAGTGAATCAGGGCAAACAGACTAGGATTAAAAATAGTGATATGACTCATTATACGACCGCAAAAAAATTTTTGGGATCGTATAATGGTATGATGTCGTCGTCTTTGTCGTCCAAAGACACATTGGTTTCCGGACAATAACTTTAGTTTAAGTGAATGGATATCTATGACATTTTTTAAGAAGGTTTAATACCACAAAAGGAGGGTTGGGATTGATTTTGGGGATGATGGTCCCAACTGTTTGGGAATTAGGGGCCCAAAAGGGGCCCAAAACAAGCATTTTCTAGTTTCAGGATAATAACTTGTGTATAAGTATTTCGATTGCTCTGAAATTGTACCACAATGTTTAACACAAGTAGAAGGTTGGGATTCATTTTAGGGGTTATGGGGCCAACAGTTTAGGAATTAAGGGCCAAAAACAAGCATTTTTCTAGTTTCCAGACAATAACTTGTGTGTAAGTGTATGGATCTCTCTGACATTGTACCACAAGGTTCCATATAACAAAGGGAAAGCTGTGATTGAGTTTGGGGTTAATTGCCCCAAACATGTAGGAATTAGGGGCCAAAAAAGGGCCAAAAACAAGCATTTTTCTAGTTCCCAGACAATAACTTGTGTTTAAGTGTATGGATCTCTCTGAAATTGTACTACAATGTTCCATACTACGAAAGAAAAGGCTGGAATTGAGTTTTGGGGTTATTGCTCCAAGGGGGGTTTCAAAAAATTGGGGGGGGGGGGGGGATTTTTTTTCCAATTTTTTTAAGGGATAAATATTTTATATTTTCAAAATTTTTCAAGTTTCGAATTTTTTAAAAGTTTCAAGAAGAAATCTTCAATCGACAGTATTGCGCAATATATTTGTAAGATCTTTGACCACATTTATTTTGTGTCAGAAACCTATATTATGTCAAAAATTTGATCACAATCCAAATTCAGACAGTATAAAGCTTGAATATTGTGTCCAAATTTGCCCAAACTGTTCAGGGTTCGACCTCTGCGGTCGTATCAGGCTGCACTCAGCGAAGCATTTTATTTTATTTTAAAACAATAATAAAAAAATTATTATATTTATATGATAGCAACACTAACTAAAACATGATTAAGAATTTATTCAATACAAATCTTTTAAAGGGTGCGTACGGACCTTGATTCCTCTATTTTAGGTCTATGAAGAAAAAACTTTCTACTGTTAAAAATAAATCATCTTGACCATTGTTGACTCTCAGCTGTTAAGCATATGGAAGGGGTCCCAATTATTTTCCCCATTATTTCAATGCCAATTTATAATTAAAGGGCAGATTTTTCATTCCATATTATATTTGACTGCCAAATTTCAATTACTTTCTCATACTTGTAGTCCCCTTCATGGTTTCTTGAAGAATTCTTGATGGGTCATGACTACCATTTAACATGTTTAATAGAGCAATTCTGTTATGAGTATAAGGGTGATCATATTCACTTCCAACTTTAAAGAGAAAAAAAAATTGGGACCATCAGGAATATGACAGTTGTTTCCATTTGTATAATGTGTTTGAGCTTTTAATTTTGCCATTTGATAAGGGACTTTTCGTTTTGAATTTTCCTTGGAGTTCTGTATTTTTGTTATTTTACTTTTAACTCGACAGTAGTCGTCCACTATATACATTTAATAATCATCCAAATTTTAATAGAAGTTGACAGTTTTATGAATACTCTTTGACTATACATGTACTACAAATTAAAGCACCTTTACATAATTTTCATCCCGGTATAATAATATCCCATTGAATAGATGGTAGATTTATTAAAGGACTTCATTCCTGGTTACTAGACTGTTATCCTGTAACTGAGATCTATCCATGTTATTATTAATGTTTACACATATCAGTTGTTGTAACTTGCATGTACATGTTCAAAGGGGCATTAGCTACAATTTAGACACAAATTTAGAAATATTTCCTTGTTAAAAGCTGTCAGTTTGGCCTAAATTTGTCAAAATAAGCCCCAAAACATTGCTGATGTATTATTGACTAGCAAGTTAATAATTTAACCTCATTGAATCCATATTCATGTGACCTTCCATTTAACCCTTTAGCTTGAGAGATAAGTTATGCATGTACTAGACATGTTCAGCTTTTAAAGAAAAAGAAAGTCAACATTGAAAGTGAAACAAGGGGGAACCATTCTGTTGACTGATTCTATCCACAAAAACCATTCTTATACAGGTAAAAATGCGGTTTATAGCCTTTGTTAGTCTTGTATGTTTTTTAATTTTAGTTCATTTATATTGTTTGGAGTCTAGTGTGATGTCCATTTTCACTGAACTAGTACAGTTTTGTTTAGGGGCCAGCTAAAGCCCGCCTCTGGTTGCGGGATTTTCTAGCTGTGTTGAAGACCCATTGGTGGCCTTCTACTGTTTTCTGCTATTTGGTAGGGTGGTTGTCTCTTTGACACATTCACCATTTCCATTCTCAATTTTATTTAACATACTTTTTTACTCGCCTTGACAGAGTCTGAAATTGTACCACAATGTTTAACACAAGTAGAAGGTTGGGATTCATTTTAGGGGTTATGGGGCCAACAGTTTAGGAATTAAGGGCCAAAAACAAGCATTTTTCTAGTTTCCAGACAATAACTTGTGTGTAAGTGTATGGATCTCTCTGACATTGTACCACAAGGTTCCATATAACAAAGGGAAAGCTGTGATTGAGTTTGGGGTTAATTGCCCCAAACATGTAGGAATTAGGGGCCAAAAAAGGGCCAAAAACAAGCATTTTTCTAGTTCCCAGACAATAACTTGTGTTTAAGTGTATGGATCTCTCTGAAATTGTACTACAATGTTCCATACTACGAAAGAAAAGGCTGGAATTGAGTTTTGGGGTTATTGCTCCAAGGGGGGTTTCAAAAAATTGGGGGGGGGGGGGGGGGGGGATTTTTTTTCCAATTTTTTTAAGGGATAAATATTTTATATTTTCAAAATTTTTCAAGTTTCGAATTTTTTAAAAGTTTCAAGAAGAAATCTTCAATCGACAGTATTGCGCAATATATTTGTAAGATCTTTGACCACATTTATTTTGTGTCAGAAACCTATATTATGTCAAAAATTTGATCACAATCCAAATTCAGACAGTATAAAGCTTGAATATTGTGTCCAAATTTGCCCAAACTGTTCAGGGTTCGACCTCTGCGGTCGTATCAGGCTGCACTCAGCGAAGCATTTTATTTTATTTTAAAACAATAATAAAAAAATTATTATATTTATATGATAGCAACACTAACTAAAACATGATTAAGAATTTATTCAATACAAATCTTTTAAAGGGTGCGTACGGACCTTGATTCCTCTATTTTAGGTCTATGAAGAAAAAACTTTCTACTGTTAAAAATAAATCATCTTGACCATTGTTGACTCTCAGCTGTTAAGCATATGGAAGGGGTCCCAATTATTTTCCCCATTATTTCAATGCCAATTTATAATTAAAGGGCAGATTTTTCATTCCATATTATATTTGACTGCCAAATTTCAATTACTTTCTCATACTTGTAGTCCCCTTCATGGTTTCTTGAAGAATTCTTGATGGGTCATGACTACCATTTAACATGTTTAATAGAGCAATTCTGTTATGAGTATAAGGGTGATCATATTCACTTCCAACTTTAAAGAGAAAAAAAAATTGGGACCATCAGGAATA